TCAGATCCTCAGGATGAGGGGGAACCTGACCCCGAGAGCTGGAAGACAGGGATATTACTTTAAATCCGGCTTCCAGAAGTGGAGGCCCTGTGTGAAATCTGCTCAGATCTGGACAGAATTATTCTGCAGTGGCTGTAAATTCATCAGTGGCCCGTTTGGGATTTGTCAACGCTTTTTTTGATTTGGGAAAATACAAAAAGGGGCATACTGATCGCCTTAAACTTGGTCCTGTATGGAAATCTCTGTTCAACAGCTCCAATCTGAACAGAATTATTCTACAGAGGGTCCTTAAAACATATTTCATGATTAGGGAAGAATGCAAAAAAGGCGGCCGGGGCCTTCTTTTTCATGCATTTGAACGTCTGCACGCGGAAAAAGAAGCAAAACATTCCTTTTATTTCTGCACTTGCACAAATCCCCAAAAAGCTGCTCGTGAATCTGCAGCCTCTTTAGAGCAACTGTGTCGGTTCTCCCACGGGACCTAAAGCTCTGTGATGAGAATGAGAAAAACGTGGCGACGTGGAGTTGGTGAATCGTGTCTGTGGCAGATTATGAAGTAAAAAACACATTCATGCCTCTAACATCAACCTAAACCAGCCCGTGTGAGCGGTGTCGGGGGGCCGTCAGACTGACCCGTCCGTGGATACGCCCCGTAGGCTCGGACCTCCCGATGGCTCTCAGTCCGGTCAGAGTTTGTCCCGACTGAGATTAAAGCGGCCGGCCTGCATGTCAGGGAGAATAATCGCTGTGTCAAATCCTCCCGGGCCTGCCCGTCGCGGAAATGGATTTTTACGACGCGCCGAGCGTGAAAACGACTTTCCGGGGAAAGGACAAGCAGGGAAACCCAACTGTGACAAACTTTGTTCAAAATCCCATAAGGATGAAGCCCAATAGCAGTTCAGTCCCCCTGCCTAACCCTAACCTTAACCCTAACCCTAACCCCTGCCAAAACAGCCCCGTTCAGAGCGCTCGCTTTGGAGTGCCTGTCTCTTTAAATGCAAATGAGACACAGGCAATCCACCCACTTCTTCAGGGAGGTGTGCCCACGTCGGCACGCTAACGCTACCATGCTAACGCTACCATGCTAACACTACCATGCTAACGCTACCATGCTAATGCTCACGCTACCACGACGTCTCCACAGATAGGCGGAGTAAACTGAGGGGGGGGGCAACATGCAGGT